TTTTTTTTTTTTTTTTTTTTTTTTTTTTTTTTTTTTTTTTTTTTTTTTTTTTTTTTTTTTTTTTTTTTGAGAATGTATCAAATGACATTTATACTCTTTGTTTGTGTTCGAGCACCGTCCCACTCAGCCAAGATGATGGAGAGTTGCCAAAAATGGGCACTAAATAATTTTCGAGAAAATGGGCATTAAATAATTTTCGAGAAAATGGTGGTAGTATCAGAACCATGAGTTATTGTTCTCAAGAAATGACCCGATCTGGCCCATTTCTTGAAAGAAGTTTTTAGGAGATCCCTATCTACCAAAAATCTATTGATGTTCCAAATCCAAGGATAGTATTAGGATCCTTCGCTATTGTTCTCAAGAAATGACCCGGTCTGGCCCATTCTTCGTAAGAAGTTTTTACGGGATTCCTATCTACCAACAATCTATACAATTTATTATTGATCTCACATAATTATCAAAAAATTTATAATTGATCTCGCAGAATTACTCCCAGAATTATTAACAATTTATGATTGATTTGGCAGAATTAGAATTATCCAACAATTTATAATTGATCTCGCAGAATAAGAATTATCCAACAATTTATGATTGATCTCGCAGAATAAGAATTATCCAACAATTTATGATTGATCTCGCAGAATAAGAATTATCCAACAATCTATGATTGATCTTGCAAAACAAGAATTATCCAACAATTTAGGATTGATCTCGCAGAATAAGAATTATCCAACAATTTATGATTGATCTCGCAGAATTAGAATTATCCAACAATTTATTAATAATCTCGCATAATTATCAAACAATTTATCATTGTTCTAATTTGTCACAGAATTATCAAAACAATTTATCATTCCTCTAATTTATCTCACAAAATTATCAAACAATTTATCATTGATCTAATTTATTTAACAGAATTATCAAACAATTTATAATTGATCTCCCAGAATTATCCAACAATTTATCATTGATCTAATTGATCATTGATCTCACAAAATTATCAAACAATTTATCATTACTCTAATTTATCTCATAGAATTATCAAATAATTTATCATTAATCTAATTTACCTCATAGAATTATCAAACAATTTATGATTGATCTAATTTATCATTGATCCCATAGAATTATCAAACAATTTATCATTTATCTCGCAGAATTATTCAACAATTTATCATTGATATCGCAGAATTATCCAACAATTTATTATTGATCTAATTTATCATTAATCTCACAAAATTATCAAACAATTTATCATTGATCTCACAGAATTATCAAACAATTTATTATTGATCTCGCAGAATTATCCAAAAATTTATCATTGATCTTGCAGAATTCTCAAACAATTTATCATTGATGTCCCAGAATTATCAAACAATTTATCATTGATCTAATTTATCATTTATCTCGCAAAATTATCAAACAATTTATCTTCTAATTTATCATTCATCTCGCAGAATTATCCAATAATTTATCATTGATTTCGTAGAATTATCAAACAATTTATCATTGATCGAATTTATCATTGATCTCGCAGAATTATCAAACAATTTATCATTGATCTAATTTATCATTGATCCCACAAAATTATCAAACAATTTATCATTGATCTAATTTATCTCACGAATTATCAAACAATTTATTATTGATCTAATTTATCTCACTGAATTATCAAACAATTTATGATATTGATCTCACATAATTATCAAACAATTTATCATTGATTTTACATAATTATCAAACAATTTATCATTGATCTTACCGAATTATCAAACAATTTATCATTGATCTCACGTAATTATCAAACAATTTATCATTGATCTCACATCACATTTTCGAAACCCTCATGTTTAATAGTAACACAATCAATTGCATGAGACTTCTGCCTAAAGCAGAAAAGGCAGACGAAATAAAAAAAAGGCTTGCATGAGACTTTTGTCTAGAAAGGCAAAAAGGAGACGAAATAAGAAACAACACGGCCCATCACATTTTCGAAACCCTCATGTTTAATAGTAACAAAATCACTTGCATGAGACTTCTGCCTAAAGCAGAAAAGGCAGACGAAATAAAAAAAAAGGCTTGCATGAGACTTTTGCCTAGAAAGGCAAAAAGGAGACAAACCTCAAACCTATTGTCGAACCCCACTCAGGGTAATATGGAGGTACTTATGGCGGAACGGGCTGATCTGGTCTTTCACAATAAAGTGATAGATGGAACTGCCATTAAACAACTTATTAGTAGATTAATAGATCACTTCGGAATGACATATACATCACACATCCTGGATCAAATAAAGACTCTGGGGTTCCAGCAAGCCGCTGCTACATCCATTTCATTAGGAATTGATGATCTTTTGAATCTGGGGTTCCAGCAAGCCACTGCTACATTCATTTCATTAGGAATTGATGATCTTTTTAAATAAGAAACAACAGAGTGCTATCACATTTTCGAAACCTTCATGTTTAATAGTAACAAAATCAATTGCATGAACATGAGACTTCTGCCTAGAAAAGGTAGACAAAATAAAAAAAAAAGGCTTGCATGAAACTTTTGCCTAGAAAGGCAAAAAGGAGACGAAATAAAAAAGGCGAACGAAAACACCGTGTGGCTTGGTTGCTTGGGTTTATGACTACCCTTTTCTAAGCGGTGATTTTTTTTGTATCAACCCTTTTTTCGTTAGCTTGGGTCTATGAAGAAACCCATTTTTCGACTAGGGTGTACTTGGGGTGTAGTTTTAAATTGTTCCATATAATAGTTATTGCTCCAGATAAAGAAGGTTTTACTAATATTTTAATAGTTGGTCTTTCTTTCTTTCCTTTTTTGTTATTGAAAAAGGGGAACGGATTCATTCGCTCATCAACCTCTCCCTTCCGGTAAAGTCGCTTCGCTCATGAGCCTCGTCTGTTGGTCTCATTGCTTTGCTCCTGAGCCTCGTCTGTTGGTCTCATTGCTTTGCTCCTCTCCCTATCGATTTTGTTGCTTCGCTCATTCGTCTTGTTTGTATATCTCATTGCTTCGCTCCTCTCCCTCTGGGCCGAGTTGCTTCGCTCCTCTCATTTCCTACGAAATTTGAATGACTATCTGAAACTCCCATTCTCCTAGAAAGCCCCATTCTCCTAGAAAGCTCACAACTTTGAGATGAGCTGAAGCGCTTCTCTTTTTTTATGCACATAAACTACAAGGCATCGAAATTTGTAGGGTAGTTCTGAATTCTCATTCAATAGACCTAGATAGCCGAAAATTTGTAGTGTATCTAAATTCTCATTCAGTAGACCTAGATAGTCAAAATTATAATAACCCCACCAAGGAAACTTCATAGGGACAAATTATCCGCAACAAGGAAAACTACCATAGGGACAATTTATCCGGTTATTCTAAAAGAAAAATAATGATTTCAAGTAAATTTGTTTAGTAATTTGATAACTAAACACGAAAATGATGGGCCGCCCGTGGGTTGCGCCTGCTCGTGATGGGCCGCCTGTGGGCTGGGCTGTTTAAGCTGGGCCGCCCGTGGGTTGCGTCTGCTCGTGATGGGCCGCCTGTGGGCTGGGCTGTTTAAGCTGGGCCGCCGGTGGGCTGGGCTGCTTAAGCTGGGCCGCCCGGGGGCTGGGCTGCTTAAGCTGGGCCGCCCGGGGGCTGGGCTGCTTAAGCTGGGCCGCCGGGGGGCTGGGCTGCTTACGCTGGGCCGCCCGTGGGCTGGGCTGCTTACGCTGGGCCGCCCGTGGGATGGGCTGCTTAAGCTGGGCCGCCCGTGGGCTGGGCTGCTTAAGCTGGGCCGCCCGTGGTCTGGGCTGCTTAAGCTGGGCGGCCCGTGGGCTGAGCTTCTTAAGCTGGGCCGCCCGTGGGCTGGGCTGCTTAAGCTGGGCGGCCCGTGGGCTGGGCTGCTTAAGCTGGGCGGCCCGTGGGCTGGGCTGCTTAAGCTGGGCCGCCACTGGGCTGGGCTACTCGTGATGGGCCGCCCGTGGGCTGGGCTGTTTAAGCTGGGCCGCCCCGTGGGTTGCGCTGCTTAAGGGTATAGGAAATCGATCTCCAGGGTAGAGATTGGGGCTGAAAGATTCTGAAATATGAATTTTGAGTTAAGAGACGTTTTAATATTTATGAACTATAACCGAATAAATAAATAAGGAAAATTGCTATCTAGCTCCTAAAATGAGGGTACCCAAAATGGCAAATATCATCCATTCTTAATTCTTAGACATATTTTACCATGAAGGATGCCCTAAATATAATAAATCACAAAGTAGATCGATTTCCTCAAAACCCTTCTTTTCAAGAATGAATGAATAGCTTCTTCTCAAGAAAGACTCACTTGCTTAACAAGGAGTCGAAACAGAGAAATTTTAATTTTGGCACTTCGGTTCAGCTCTAAAGTTTTTGGTTTCATGTTTCACAACTCATATTTTATTGAGTCAAAATAGAAGAAAAGACAAAAAAACTCATATTTTATTGAGTCAAAATAGAGAAAAAACAAAAAAGAATAGAAGTCAAAATTCTTAAAAAACAAAAACTCAAATTAAAAATGAACCCAAAAACAAAAACCCAGATAAAAAAAATAATAAAATAAAATTCAGAATGCCATTGATATGCATAAGCTATCCATCAAACTAGTTCTTCTAAATCACAGAATATTATACATCTTCAAACTTGGGCATGTTTTGATGCTTGGCCTCACCTGATGCTGAGGATGCTTTATTATTCTTACTAGGAGCAACCTCAAAAATCTCATTCAACTCGGGCGTCTTTTGATGCTTTGATGCAAACTTACTAACCTGCTCGGACTCGCAAGCCCTGGAAAATTCTGGACTAAAGGAGACATTGGTGAAGGATACGTAATCTAAGACAATATGTGATTCTGTAGCCCTGGCAGCCAGTGCCTCACGGATAAGAGCGGAGACATCCATCAAGTTAGCCACAAGCTCATGAGAGGTGAATTTGGAGACCACAGCATCCAGATCCTTATGGTTAATAGAAGGGAGAGTTTGATGATTATGTGGGAGGTAAGGGATATCAGGATGAAAGAGAACACGCACCGTCAAATTCACCTCTTGACGATCCTTTGTATTGGAAACAAAACTGAAAGTGTAAGGTCGAACACGAATATTGAATATAGAGGGCTTTTGAAGCCATGGAATGCAGAAATGAGTTCCTTCACCGACGATGGTGTTGTCTGTACGACCTCCAAATGGATGGAAGATGACTGCTCGTTCACCCATGCGGACGGTGTACATAGAGGCATTTACAACCGAGGATACCACGCCGACACCAACAGCAAAGCCAGCAACCTTTGTAAGCAGGTGAGTCGTTCTTGAGAAGAAGCTATTCATCATTCTTAGAGAAGAAGGGTTTTGAAGAAGAACCGAGGATACACGCCGACACCAACAGCAAAGCCAGCAACCTTGGTAAGCGGGTGAGTCGTTCTTGAGAAGAAGCTATTCATCTTTCTTGAGAAGTAGGGTTTTGAAGAAGGGTCTTGAGAACAGAAGAAGTGGCCCGGCTTAAGCAGCCCAACCAAACGGGAGGCCCAGCTTAAGCAGGCGCAACCCACGGGCGGCCCAGCGGAAGCAGCCCAACCAAACGGGAGGCCCAGCTTAAGCAGCGCAACGCACGCGCGGCCCAGCTTAAGCAGCCCAACCCACGGGCGGCCCAAATCTTCCCCTTCAATTCCAAATCGCAATATAGTCTCTTCCGTTTCGTTACAACTTCCCATCCAAATCCCTTGCGAACTTCGATTTACTAAACCCTAATAAAAGAATGATTAGCCGCCTTTTTTGGTTGAAGAGAGTTCAGTTCTTAGTGCCTCCGTGTACACTGTACGTGAAGGTGAACGAGCTGTAATCTTTGATCGGTTTCAAGGTCGAATAAACGCAAAGACTGTCGGGGAAGGAAAACACTTTTTGCTTCCATGGGTTCAGCAAGCTTTCATTGTAGACATCACTACACAACCTCAGAAACTCACTTTCCAATGTCGAACAAAACACTTGGAATTCAGCAGGGAATTTTCTGACTCTGTGGAGCTAAACCAAGTTGCCTTCCAAGATTATGAGACTGCGAAGCAATCATCAAAATGGTGGTTGGGGACAATTCTAGATAGAAAAATTAGTTTGCGTGTGTAACGTTGTGATCTTGGCACTCTCAAGATCTTTTATTTTTATCTTAGAAGTGTATTCAACTTCTTATATCAATATGGATACTTGGCAAAGTCTGCATCCTTTAGAAATGCATTAAAATACTGATGTAGACTACGCTTTTATTGTTAACATGGGTAAATGTCGTATAGTAAAGCACTATGTTTCCATCCCAACAGATAAATATTTAAAAACACACAAGTTTAGTGAGGCAAAACACACAGCACACATGACATGTGGATACCAAAAGTGCTCCAAAGAATTGTTATCTATGCGTTCTGCATTACTATGCTCTTAGTTACACATGGATGTAGCCTCTCATAATGCAGAATTAAGTCCTTCAAGATCTGGTCTAATGCGTTCTGCATTTCTATCTCTACTCTCTTCAACAAGAGTAGTGGAGATTTGGGACCATGTGTTCTGCATTTCTTGCGATTCTTGCATGACTTACACAGGTGGTTTATTGGTGATTGATGGGGGAGGACAAACAAGATTGATCAACACATTCAAAGCTGCCTGAATGATCTGCAAAGATTTTTAGGTATCAAGCTAAAACCAATGGATGGTCCAAACTCATACTTTCTGCATCCAAAATGACAGCTACAAAATCTCCATTGCCGTGCCGTTTAGAGTCACTTCAAAATATCTGAGTATATATCATTTGCTCAAACAAATTGAAATCCAGAGGTACCCAGAAAGGGACAGAAAAAAAGAAACCAATAACTTGAATTACAGAAGCAGTAAACTACAAGGGACCATCATCCAGATACTGATGAGCACAATTATGAAAAAAATTGAATTTCGTTCTTGCTTTTCACCCATTCAACAATAAAACAGAAATTTTCCAACCCGAATCCAACCCCCCTCCCAATCACATATACACAGAAAAGGTATGCAAAATAGAAATCTCAGCTATGAGCACCAATATCAACTTTCTCTCACTGCACCTCAATCCAATTTGTTCATAATGGGACGACCAATTTAACTGCGGCTGCTGCTTTCATCACATGGTGAGGTGAGTGATTAGATAAACTTTTATGCCCACATACCAATTGGAAAACCAAATCTGCTGAACACCCCCATTTGAAGTTCTGTTGTTAGCTAGCTAGCCAGATGGTGCTCGTAAGGCTACTTTGGGAGAGACGAGAACTGCTTCATTACTTGCAGATTTCACAGCAGCTATCTCCTCTAAGCGTTTCCACTTAGCCTCGCGCTTAGATTTCGTATCCTTCTCGTGTGTCTCTTCTTCTTGAAATTTGAGCAAACATTCCTCAAACAGCTCAGGGTCAGCATCCAAGAAGATCTTTCGGACGTTTTGTGTTAAGTTTTGTACGGCCTGGTTCCAATGGTTTCTTGAATTTCTCTCCAGTGCAGGAAATATAATCGGCAAAATCACTTTGAGGTTCTGTTTGATTAGGTTCTCGATGTGACTATTGTTCCATAGAAACAGAGTCCTTTCAGCCACCTGAAAATGAACAAGATAAACATGGTACAGCATGAGACAAGGAATCTAGAAGAAGATTAATTTCTTTCTACTTGAATAAATAGACAAATAATCCTCCAAAATTATTCCAACAGCAGCTATATTTAAACGGTACCTGTGAGACTACATGGATAATCACACTAATCTAACAAGGATACATCTCTAGATCACAGGTTATCAAAATATTTGTCAGTAACATCCCCTGTTTCGGAAAGTGCACTTATGCAACCACAAGGGGAAGTGAGCTAGTTCAATGCACCCTAAGCACCTTTCTGCCTAAGCTTCAACCATTTAGGACGTAAAAGAACCACGGGAGAGAACTGTTAGGATGACTGTAGTAAAGACAATCACTCTCTGACTAATATTAAAGCCTTAAACAAAGCCTTCATTTCTTTTGGTCCTTGAGCTATCAGTTCCATTTCGAGCTTTTTAGACCCTAAATTCTTAGTAAAAAATCATTTTAGCAAATTTTTTGTTTACCAAAATGATGAGGAGATGTCATTGTAGATAAATGTCTCAACCGTGTTTAGAGACTAAAATAGAACATTTTAAAGTTTAGGGACTAAGATAGCATGTTTGAAGTTTAAATGCCAAAAAGAACAAGCATGAAAGTTCACAGACAAAAATAGGATTTGAACTTCCAGCTCTAAAACTTAATATTATTCTTCCTTTCACATATTCCTAGCACCTTGCACTTAAGCTCCAAAGAGATAATGTTCCCAGCCCGTCTCATGCTTTAAAGAGATTGCCAGAATGAAAGAAAATAAACAACAGTGCTAACGGATAAAGGTGAGGGCTAGAACCCACCGTTTTCATTAGTTAATATTAAATATGAAAAAACTAAGTCATATATAAATTCAAAACTCTAATCTTCTTCTCTCTCTCATTCCAACCTTTTCTTTTTCAACTTCGATCCACAACATTTTTTTTTCCATCTCTTTTTTTTCTCCTCTCTTCCCACTATAGTTTAAGCAAACTCAAAATGTTGTAGAAAAACATTGTATAATCTAAATTGGGATTAAAAACTACCATTTTTGGGATGAATGATCAAATAAGCTATCCACTACCACGCATGTCTCAAAAGGTTATTGAAAAAAAACTTTATTAATTTGTTCCATTGAGCTCAAAGTTATACTTAAACTTCCTTCATTTCGAATTTCAGGGCATTAAAAAATCCAGATGATTTAAGATTTTGCTCGGAACTTATATTCATGATTGGAAAAAACATGAAAAACATATGAGAACGAGGGGTCATTTAGCTAAAATAAACTTGTATCGAGGGAGATATGACCATTAATGATCTTAGTGTGCACTTGATCAATCGATCCTAAATCGTACAATACAATCTAGGATTGACCCGAGACCGTATTGTACAATCGAAAGCAGATTAAGATCATATTTTGGTCATAATTTCCAATGAAACGAAACACTTTTTTTGTCTTCTACCAAGCACTTGCCCGCTGCTCCTGCCAAACCTATTTTAGATAAATGACCACTCGTATTCATACATTTTTTTTTGTGACTTCCAACCAAGCATATCAACTAAGAAAATTTTAAAGCCTCTCGGCTTTTAATGCCTTTAGAAGCCAAAATGATCTAAGTATAAGTCATAACTTCGAGCTCAGTTGACCAAAATGGATGAATTTTATTTTTTCGAGTAACTTTTTGATATATATATATATGCTAGAAGGCAACTTATTAGACCATTCATCCTAGAAATGATCGTTTTGAACCTCAAACTGGATTACATAATATTTTTCTTCACCATTTTGAGTTGTGGTACTCAAGTCACATTGGAGTAGGGTGGGGAGGGAGAAGACAAAGGTGAGGGAAAAAAAGAGATAAGAAGAAGAACAGTGCCGTGGATTAAAGTTCAAAAGAAAAGGTTGGAATGAGGGAAGAGAGGGAGGAGAAGGCATAAAAGAAGATAGAGATGATAGAGGAGGATGAAATTTTCTGGGCAATTGATGTTTATGTAACCTGAGGGTAAAAAGATAATTCACCTGTCAAAAAGGTTAGAAAAATCATCTATAAAAATTTTGGATTCTAGATTAGTTTCACCAATTTCCCTTCCTTAATATCATCTCACAGGTCAATTAACCAACCTAAGAACCTATCTCACAGGTCATACTTAAATCCCAGATAGATATTGGTTAAAAACTAAAAGCATGCAAAGAAATCTTTAGTGCACTACCTACGTTGTGTGGCAAAAAATAGTAAGCATCAAATTTTGAGTATTTAATACCTATTCTACTTCCCAGGGTAGGGACATGTTGGTAAAAATCATCATGAAGCTAAAAAGGAGTAGAAGCTAGTAAATTGAGCAAAAACGAAAAATAACTCCACATAGTCTACCTGAAAATGTGAACTGCTCAAGCAACGTCCAATCTGGCGAAACAAGGGTACCATGCAACGCTGGAACTCAGCGGGCTGAGTTGCTTCTAACACTTCTTCAAGTTCACCTAAGAACATCACCTCCTTCGAACTATTTGTAATTGGCCAATATTTCAGTAAGCCCCTTATGATAGTATCAGCTAGCTTGCAATCTTTCTCCACAAATTGTGTTATACAGTAAGATAACTGCTGGTGATACATGGGTATGCATTTAGGTTTGTGAAGAGGGATAAGTGCTCGAACCAGAAAGAGTTTATGCTCTTCTTTTAGAGGAAGAGCAAATCCATTGATTATACTTCCCAAAATCTCTAAAAGCTCTGCAATCCCATTATGCTTCTCAGTTTCAAAAATGAACCGATAGAAAATGTTATTGATTGATTTCCTGATGAATGGTCTATGTACCATAAATTTCCCATATATGCGATGCAGAACTGTTTTCAAGTAATCCCTCTCTCTAGGATCCTCAGAATCAAAAAGATCCAACATCCTGAGAACAAAAGAGTGATCGATGTACCTCTTTGCCAACTTTGCATCTGTTTCAGGCGATGCCACAAACCTGAGCAGAAACTCATAGACAACTTGTAAATGTGGCCATGCAGGGTCCATTGAGGGCTCCTCTTCTTCAAGATCAAAGGCTTCTAAACCTTTGCTATCTCGTGATGGAATGGTAGGTGTTCTAAATAAATTTGAGGACACCATCTTTACAATTTCTTGTATAACATTTTCTGATAGCTTTCCATTTGCAGACGCCACATAATCAACAAGCTCTATCAGTGTTTGTCGTTTGATATCCTTTTCTTTGAGGTTTTTTGACGGGTCGGTGAAGTCAAACACCACACAACACATGTTCAGCTTTCTAATGAACAAACTTTGCTTCTCAGAATTTGGGACATCCTTGAAACCCGGCAGTGCCTCATAAGAAGCTTGTGAGTTACCATTTGATTTTGCATTGAGCCCTTGAGATGACTTACTCCCATGATTTACTCCAGCATTCAAAGCAGAATTGGGGCCAGAAAAAGATCCAGTTCCAGTGTTGGCATGGTGGTTAGCTACTACATCATTGCTCCTTGAACTTGTAGAGGCATGCGAAGAAGAGACGGTTGTCCCTGCTCCTTCACGATGCTCGGTTGACTTGGAAGGTTTTCGAGGAAGCCTATTAAGTATTTGTTTAATCATGACTTCAATGGAAAAACAAAAGATTTTCCTTGTTCACTTCAAAACACTCACTAATTCTCTAGTTGCTAAAGCAGATGCAGATTCTTTTACATGGATCAATGAACAACCTACAAAAAAAAAAACAAGAAATTCCGGAATGTAGTCAACCAAATTCCATCTTGAAAAAGAAAAGAGAGAAAATTGAGCATAAGATTTAAAATCATTTCAATGACAATACCAGTAACGTATAGCCTTACAGGAAATGGTGCAATCAAGTGGGGAAAAACCTCCTGATTGAGAAACTAAATATGTTTAGCACTTCAAATTTTCGTTTCCTTATTTATTGAGTTCAAGAAGAAGGGGGAAAAAAGGCCTACTCTACCATGAAGAAAATAACACCAGGTTTTCTCCTCTGGGGTTATACCAACAAGCCCAGATGGGCAGATGCAGAGGAAAATGACATTAAATGAAACATTTTAAGATCGTTTAAAGCAGAATCATAAGAGCAAGCTGAAGAAACATTGACTTCCATCTTGAACCACAAAAAGAAGAAAAGGGCAGTAGCTAATCACCTCGCTATATTCGTCTCTCTCCTCCGCCTCTATTCTCCTTCACTTTATTAAGGTCGAGAAGATAAGCAAGCGGATCAAGATAGAACAAGATCTGGGCATGATCTATTGACCCACACCAATCTCCAGCAAAAGCAGCCTGCAAAATTCCCAAAAAGCAAGGGGATGACAAAACTGAGCCACATTCAAATTAGATTCAAAATCAAAAATAGGAAGAAAGGGTGCGGTGCGAGAAGAGGGGAAAAAGTAAGTTACATGTGAGGAAGTAAAATTAAAGAGGAGAGGGAAATTGGAATTACATATGTATAGAAGACATGGATGTGGATTTAGGGTGTCAAAGAAAGACCAGGTGCGCCTGTTATTACAAGAAATGAACACAGAGAGAGAGAGAGAGGCGAAGAAAGAGAGAGGAGAAGGATAAAGAAGAGGGCCGAGAAGGAGATTGGAACCCAACCCAGTGAGTAGCAAAAAAGGTTAGGTTAGGGAACAGCAATCCATAGCTGCTGTTCTCATCGTTGTTCCAATGCTTTGTTTAGCAAAACAACAGTTTTTTTTATAATCACCTTTTCCATTTTCTTCCTCCCTTTCCCTTCCTACTATCTTTGGAATTTCATCCTCTTTTTTTTTTTTCTTTTTTTTTCATTCAAAAACATTCCCTTTTTATTTCCTTTTCAGATTTATTTATTTCATTGGCTTAAACTTTGGAAGAATTTCTCCCTAAATTATTGTTCTAAAAAAAATTTGAGTCTCAAAAGACAGCTATATATTTAAATAAATAAATTATATATTTCCTAAAAAACTTTGAAGTTTATAAAAATATTCTTAAATCATCAACTTGTATCTAACTAATGTATTTAAAATGGAAATAAATAGTTCTACAGATTTTTATGGTTATGCTTATTTATTAATTTAATTTTTCAAAATTATTCTTGAATTTTAAATTTTGTGATCCTGACCTAATAATCTTGGGTCCTCTTCATGGAAGATTAGATTCACAATTCTCTTCCTCTTTTAAATGCATAATTTTTCAACGCCATATTCTTTTCTATTTTGTGTTTAAAAGCTGCATGTAATCATTTCCCGTAGCCCAGTGTCATTGACCTCCAGAAACGGCTCGACCAGTCCTCTGGTTTCACTGCCTTAGTCCCCAGCCCTGGCGCTCTGTCCTTCTGAGCCCACATTCTGCTCCTCCTGCCAATCCGTCGCCACACGCCTGTGAAACTTCTCCCTGAACACTTCCCGAACTTGGTGTTTGTAATGGTTTATAACCATCTCAGACCTCTCCAAATTCATACACTGAAACCCATCTCTCAAGTGGAAATGATGCACCATGTTGATCAATGTGGAGTTCAAAGCCTCCGGGTTCACGATGCTCTTGTGCCTCTCCGCCACCGCTTTCCTGCAAGTGTACCCCACCGTCACCCCCTGCGGCGGCATCCGTGACAGCCCGGATGGGCCGAAGTTGTGGCAGGACACGCGTATCTCCCCAACGGTAACGTTTTTGGCTTGGTTTCTGAGCACGTCGAGCAGAGATAGCCAATTTGGCAGGTAGAAGAACTTGTCGACATCAATGAATCCGACCCACTTGCAAGAATCGCGAGCCAGCTTATTGGGTCTTAATCCAGGGCCAGATATGTCGAGAAATGTTGTGTTTGACAGTGGACATTGATGCAATCACGTCTTCTATGTCGTCAACGCTGTTGTTTCCACAGATGAACCAGCGGCGTACATCGAGATGGCATGGTAAATGATCCATTCCTTAAGAAACTGCGCACCACTGTGCATACGCACATCTCGTGGGGCTTCCGGTGAGGTGTTGTGGATCCTGATGGGAGCAATGGGCGGGCTACTGAATGCCAAGTTCCTCCGCCTTTCACTCTAATGGATACTTAAAAATCATGGGTTCTATTGGGATTGCAGAGCAAACTCAGGGGTGTTCCAGCACGCAATTTCTTGAGCAAGCGACATGACATCGGATCTTAGCAAAAACTCGACCTTCCGAAAATCCCAAGCCGTAAACACACTTACATCTCGACGCGTTGGAGACCCGTTCAGGGCGGAGATTGAGGCCTTTGACGAAGACCACGGTGGTGTTGTCTCGGCCGACTAGTACTTCGTACACAAGAGAGTTCCACCGGTGCGAGTTTCCACCTTGGAGATGAGCGTTGGATCTCACTCTAATTGAAACTGTAAACCCACGAGGTAGGAGTGGGCACCGGACCATTTGCTTCAGAAGATGATCCTCACCATCCACGTAGATCGCTTCCCGCCATCTCCGGAACTCCAACGCCTTTCCCGCAAAATAAACACAGTCGATATCCTCTTAGGCAAATGGTCGAACAGTGGGTGGGTTGAGAAAAACGAGAGCCTGATCCGGGAGGGTCACTGTTTCTTGAACCGATGACCCAAAATCAAGAGAGAAATCATTGGAAACGTTGTTCACCAGAGTTCGCCGAGTATGAACCAGGTCAGGATGAAACGTATCTGTTACACAATTTATGAACATCCAATGGAATCTCAAAAATCAAATTCCAAACAAAGACAGAAGCAAATTCCGGAAGCACAACAGCTCTGGAGATCGATCAGGCAGAAATCTAAAGAGAAATCAGTTGAAGCAATTGGGGGATGGAAATCGAAACAAAAATTGGAAGGAAAAAAAAAACATACCATAGTAGACGAGGCAAAAAATGGATAATGTGAAAGTGGAGAAAACGAGAGAACGAGGAAGAGGGTGCACCAGAAGAGAGCGCTCCAAGAAACGACATTGCGTCTCCTCCTATCTCATGGCGGGGCCGGGGACATACAGGGAACCGAAGAGGGTAAATGGTGAGTGGGGGCAGGGCAGTTTCAGAGCTCGGGTTCTTCTTTGGCTGTCGGTATAATTTGAATCGAATCGTGCCGTTCAAATGTTGACCCTTTTGAGCATGGGGTGGGTCCCACTTCTGACAATGTTTTTTTTTTTATTTTTCTTTTGGTATTATAATTTTATTTTATGGCTGTGGGTTAATTTGTTATTAAAATTGATTGATGTCCTTCAAACAGCGTCGTATTGAAGCAAAATGTTACACGTCCTTCACACGTGCGGCGTGACATTGAGGTTAAACCAGACCCTGCGCAATTCTCCCAAATCAGCGCTCCATCCCGCCGCCTATGGCCAACAGCAGACGCGACGATCCGACCCGCACACGATATATCCTCTCAGAATTGGCCCGATTCCCAAATTTCCGCTTCTGGGTTCGTAGTTTTCAAAACCTCTTCGCTCAAACTCAAATCTTTTCAAACTATATTTCAGGATGATTGCAAATTTTCATTTCTGTTAATTTTTCCTTTCGGTAGTAAAATAATTGAAATGAATTGGGATAAATGGAGTGAATTGTGGAGCTTTGTAGTTTGGTAGACGCAAAATTCTCTTAATTGCTGGAAGTTGTTGCTATTCTGTGCAGGTTATTTTGCGTTTATTTACAATTCCCGATTGTTCATCTTCTTTTGAGTTTAGGGCTCGATTTTATGCACTCATTGCTATATGTTTGTTCGTTTTTCGTGCGTTTATGTAGACCTTCTGGCACATTCGTTTTCTTTTTCTATCAGGCTTTTTTTTTGTTTTTGTATTCGGAGTAAGAAAGAATTAGGAGAAAAGAAATTTGATTTGGGCTGCTTTCCTTAATTATGTTTAACTCGAAATTGTTCAAGACAAATGGTGTCATACTTGAAATTTTGCCTAGTTCTGACAAATCTATGTTCATTTATTTGATTCAGTACGTTCGCATTTGGTGAGCAATGGGTGATACGGTAGATTTAACCGGGAATGGAGGTGTTGTGAAGACAATCGTAAGGCATGCCAAAGCCAATGCTGATGCTCCAACCGATGACCTTCCTCTTGTTGATGGTACATTTTTTAAAGCAAAATTATGGTTTACTTTTTCACTGACATTACATTGCAAACTACTGAGACTGATAGTATATGAGTAAAATTCAAGAGGAAGACTTGAACGAGTTACCTTTGAGCCTTGGTTACATACTGTTTCTGCCTGCATTTAAAGTAGACAATGAATAGATAGAAACTTCCTTCCCTGTTTGTCATTTGAGTTTTTTCCTTGGTTACATATTGTTTCGTCTCATGAATTTGAACTGTGTGATTAGTCACCTGACTGTTTAGTCATGTTTCATTCCCACCGCTGCTTTCTGGTTTATTTGTGATTGACGTTCCCATGAGTTAGAATATACAACTTATTAACCTGCCTCTCAGACTTTTAACAAATCCCCCTTCATCCCATTCTGCCATCTTCACATTTGTTTTTGAATTACCCTTGATCGTAAATTCTTAAAACTTTTTGTTCCTCCAAAAAGTTTTATTAACTTTTGCCATATGTTGAGTGGAGCAGTGCATTATGAAGGAGTTCTCGCTGAATCTGGCGAAGTATTTGATTCTACTCGTGAGGATAATACCATTTTCTCTTTTGAGCTTGGAAAAGGATCCGTGATCCAGGCTTGGGAAATTGCTGTCAAGACAATGAAGGTAAGAAAAAAAAAAAAAAAAAAAGCTTTCCATCAGAAAGATAGGCAGCATGTTGTGCTGTTTTTTTTTCTTCTGAATACTGTTCTGTTGGATTGTTCCAACAGGTCGGTGAGGTTGCTAAAATCACTTGCAAGCCTGAATATGCTTATGGAAGTGCTGGTTCTCCACCAGACATCCCACCAAAGTAATGTCCTTACTCTTTCTTCTTTCTCTTGTGATAAACGAGACACCGGATTTGGTAATGGCTTTATGATAATATCTCAAATTCATTTTAGTACAAACGATTACTGTCAATAATAGTATTCTGCTTTGGCTTGGACCGGACCTTCCAGCCCTTTTTTCACTTGGAAATTTTGCTCATGAAGTATGTCGGCCATTGCAAGTGCAATGGATACTCCTATTCAAATGCCTCTTGTATATGTGCACCCCAATTTTAGGTGATAAATTCATAAATTCATAAGCAACTGTCTTACTCTCTTGCAGTGCAACTCTTATTTTCGAGGTGGAACTAGTGGCCTGCAAGCCACGGAAAGGCTCAAGTCTAGGCAGTGTTTCGGAGGAAAGGGCCAGGCTCGAGTAAGTAATCCACTACTTCAACGATCCACCTTTTTCACATTGGTCATAATGATTTGTTTTTTACAACATTGTTGAATCAGAGAATTGAAAAGGCAAAGGGAGGCTACTGCTGCAATAAAAGAGGAGGAGAAAAAGAAGAGAGACGAAGCCAAAGCAGCGGCAGCTGCCCGCATTCAAGCCAAGTTAGATGCCAAAAAGTGTGGAAAGGGAAAGAACAAAGCAAAATAACGTCGATACCCAGTTGCATTTAACATCTACAACGCAAGAGGTCAGTTAAACAAAATAAATGAGATGAAACTTTGAAGCCATGGGTTTGTAATACATTTGAATTTGCTGCTACAAATAGTGAGTCACGCTGCTGAGTATTTTGATTGTATGCTGGATTTGAACTTAGCATTTTGCTTTTAATTTCACTGATTAGCCCATACGTAGCTGACAACGCATTTATATGCTTGCATATTGTAGCGTGAGTGGCAGGAGTGGCCCTTTTTATCGTTTTCTTTTTACAATATTATTTTGCACTTCAAATGTGAAGACGGAGATTTGAACGCATTAGAGAATCATGAAAGAGAAGTTCTAGGTATAACAAGCACTTGCTGGTAAGGTTTGGACTACATGGAAGATAGTGAAAGAACAAAATTCTTCTCACTCGCAATGGTCAGAGACTATATAACAAATGATCAACTTCAAGAATACAATTAATAAATGGCTTGTAGAAGTTCAAAGATAAACGGCAATTGCACTTCCTGTAATTCCTACCCTCATCCTAATTACACCATGTCCATCCATATACGCTGCGCTTTAAGCAGGCATCAAGCATAGTTCGATAATTTTCCTTGCCTTCAATCAAACCGAATACGCATCGGTTTCCCCTTGTCCCTGTTCTGACCACCCAGACACCGCTCTGAATTTACAAACAGGGCACGTGCCCTGCTGTTGCAGCCATGGATCTATGCAGTTGGCATGGAACTACAAGATTGAATTCATGTATAACCAAATTCAAATTAAAAAAAGTATAGGAATGCATGCAGATAGAAGATGTATCGAGATTTTAAGGGAAGAACAATGAACCAAGTCCATGACTTTTCTGCATGAAATATCGGCAACCATTTGTTTGGAAGAAAAGGTGAGATAGAGAAGGAGATAGAGATAAACCTGATGTAAACATGGCAGACTACGTACGAGTTCACCAACATTTACTTGCTCCAAGCAAACACTGCACGTAAGTTCATCCTCCGAGGCCTTGGTACTGCCAACTGCATTAGCTGAATCTTGTCTCTTCTGCAATCAAAATTTAAGAACACGTACATGTTTTAAGGCAATAAAAGAATCAACACGTAAGGAAAAAGAAATCTAACAAATACCTCATTAGACTCTGAAGATGAAGCCTGCTGGTTCACAGAGGGGTCGCTGTAGATAATTTAATGAAAACGTTACTTTAGTTTATGAGTGCAAGCTCAAGTGCATGGATTTCATCGTTGAAAAATCTTTCTCCACAGAATATGAGTCTTCCAAGCAAATCTTAGAATAAGGCAACAGATACCCTAATTCTTTCTGAACTGTAGACAAGTATGGGGCTGATTACCTTTGAGGACCAGAAACCTTGTATTTATGAACAGGAAGAGCATTTATTTGTTCCTCACTCATAGAAGGTGTTGTCGGAGCATTGTCAGAATCCAAAGCTCTCAAAGTTTCATAATCTGAAGATAAACAATATTTACTACATTATCATCCATAAAAAAACTTTTACAAGAAACAACGAACTTGAACTTTTTAGACTTGAACCATACCTAAATCATCAAATTCCCGATCAAGCAGAGCAAGTTGAAGCCTTAGCCCTTGTAAACGCCCTCTAGTAGCAAGTGCTATTGATGGTGGCATATGTAACCTCAATTCAGTGTGACCAAGAAGGCCACTAGCTGCCATAGCTCTAGCTTGAGCTTGAGCCTGAAGTTGTTGACAGGTCGCATACATCCTTAATGTTGTAGCCATCAAAAACACACCAAGCACAAGCCAGAGCTAAATATGCATTTCAAAGGAAGAAAATGTAAAGATTTGCATCAAGGGTCGAGTAACACCAGTCTACTGCTCATCCAGTGTGAAATCTAAAACTTACCAGAAAGTTTGGTGACATCTGGTGAGAATTTAACATCATGAACAACAAAAGTACTGCAACAAGGTCAAGGAGTTAAAACAATGCAGTAGTTCAAAAATATTTCATGAAACAGATATCAGTCTGTACATAGGTGAAATGGTACCTGTGACAAGAAAGACAAGTGAGTTCGAGTTAACAGGACGTGCTGCATGAACTCGCTGATTGGAGCAGAAAAAACATATATTTTAAATTAAGATCATGACAAGTGCAGTTTCTATAAATTTTCAAGTATTGGTATTAACAAGTCAAGAGTGTAAAATATTGAGCATACCATTGCACGCCGTTCAGGTATAAATCCAGATAGACCATTTTCTATGTCTGGAACTCTTGTTCCACGGAAAACAAAACTCATGTCTGCAGTAGTTGCGACAGCTGGTTGATGTCAGAGAAATGAGAATCTACAGAATGAAATTCAGATGAACTCATGATAATTATCTGCAGAACTTATACAGAAAGAGGCTCCAGTTTCTTAATAGACAAACAAAATGAATCAAATAATGCCCGCATCTCCTTACTACATTAACCAATCATTCATCATTCTCAGCCCCAATGAGAATGGTCTATCTGTGAGCATTGACATGTTCTTAATTGTTTCCTAGTTGTCAAATTCAATGCATAAATCACATTCATGAGCTAATCATCTGCTCCATTAAAGACTAGATAACTCAAATTTATTGATTCCTTCAGACAATATATCAATCCTGAATATCCTCTAAGGAATGAATCAGCATTGTATGGAAAACATCCAGTGACATTCCCCATCATATGGCCATCTAATGAACACCAAACGACCGAAAGATGACTGCACACAAACTGAAGTGCATACAGACATCCAATATTTACATGATTGAGGTCTGCACTAAAATGCAAATGCTCAACTTCGGAATCAGAACTACCGGTCGGTTGAGCCAGATCAGCTTTGAATTATTTTCATCTAAATTCTCAATTCCCGACATTCCTAGCCAACTCCCGTAGATAGTCAAATGTAGCGAAAACATGAATGGAATCAGACAGACGCAACAATTTTACAGCCCCATAAGCTATGATGACAGTTAAACAAGTGAAATTCAAACGATAAAAATAAAAATCACTCATTTAAGGAACCCTAGAAACCGAATCCGAAGAAATTAAGGCACAAGAGAACAGGGATCAGCAAATAATCAAACCAGAATAATCCTTCGTGAGGGAAATCCGAGACTTACAGAAGAGAATCGAGTAAATGGGGTGATTGTGTTGGTCCAAAAGCGACAGAGTTTGCTTGGAATCGGACAGTTTTGACGATGGGGTATCTTAAAATTATGTGAGAATGAAAACCCGTATGTGGCGACGGAGAAGATGGAGGAGCGAGTCTAGTGAGGGAAGTGACTCGGACGCGTTGAGTTGCTATGCGACCCGTGTTTCGCTTGGCTTGGCTTCCTAGTAAGGTAGGCTTTGGGAGATGGAGTTGAATGCGCAAAACGACGTAGTATTTTGATTTGGTCAAATTCTATGTTCTAACGCCTGCTTTTGCTTCTTCTAATCTCTATACTTTTCCCGAGCGTTCCGAACGACCCATGCCCCATACCCCTCCAAAAACCAACCGACCCGATCCATTCTATGGCCCTAATTTTAATTTAAAACTTTAATGCAAATTTTATATCAACCTATGATTTTGAAAATATTTTCATTTTAAGATTTAACCATATTGTTTTTTAAAAATTTCATAATAACAATAAAAATAATAATTTTCTTATCCATTACATTAAAATTAAATTATTCCTTTGTTGGTTGGACATGCCATCAAAATAAGTACAAATAATATTTGAAACGCATCTATTAGAGAGATGTTTTTACACTTCGGGAGCCAGTGTTTTCGCTGACACATGGCTCTGATACCATTTATAACAGATCAAGCTCACCATTAGTAGATATTTTCCGTTTTAGCTTATTACGTATTGTTATCAGCCTCACGGATTTAAAATGCATCTACTATGAAGAGGGTCTAGCCCTACTCCTACTACTGTCTCGCACCGTCTGGTGGCTGGTTCTGATACTATTCGTAACAATCCCGAAGCCACTACTAGTAGATATTTTCTGTTTTGACCCATTATGTTCATAATTAATCTCACAATTTTAAAATGTATCGGTTATAAATAGGTTTTGAAAAACACATTAAAGAAATATATAATAATATTTTATATAACAAATTTTTAAATTTTATATCTTGCTGTCTGCATTTATCTAATACAATTAATAAAATGAAAGGGTTAGTTTATTTGTGAAATTTAAAAAATATAATAGAAACGACAAAAATCAATAAACAAGGCAGTTAGGCCTTTGTGGTTGAGGTGCATAGAGTCCACGCCTTATTCTATGACAAGTGTCAAATTGATTGACTCGGCTGGTCGGCAACTTGCATCTTTCCTTAAAAACAAACCACACGTGTGTACTGCCCCCCTCGTGATTTTCATCTCACGTGATATACTACAAAGTGTACATGTTCCTTTATTTATTTATTTTTTTTCTTAATTCCACAAATATACTTTTTTATTAAAAAAAAATTAAAATTTACTATGAATATTTAAAAATCTTCAATTTAATTCACACGGCTCACAAAAACCCTATTGTTTTTTTCATTTTTCTTTTTGTGAAAAATTGATTTAATCTCAAAAGGGGGCGGCAGGTGGGGGTGGGCTAAGAGGATGCGCTGGCAAAATTAGCATCCTTTATCTTTATCAAAAGTCAGAACTTGAAGACAGAAAACACCAATAATATAATAATATATAGATATATACAATTCAAAATTGTACTAACTGAATGACCCAACACGACACCAAACCCAATGAACAAAACATGGAAAAGAAATTTTGAACCATTTCGAAAACAAAAAGACCTGACATCTCCACAATGTTCTTCAGAGAATCTCACAGAGAAATCAATTTTTTTTTAAAAAAATAAAAATAAAATAAAACCCGAGAGAGAGACTCTGTTCCCGTGCCTGTCCGATCAATGGGCCACCTCCTCCCTCTTGAGGTGGGCCATGGATTGGGCAGTGCTTCAGGCCATTTTTCAATCCAAACTTCTTTTTTAATTTTTTAAGCCCCCAGCCCCAGCCGCTCACCCGCCAAATCACACCTCGTCTCTACAAATCCAACCCTTGATTTCACCAAGTCGAATTCCATCCACACGTTTTGTTGATGATGATGCCCAATCACAAATGCTTCTATTCCTAACAAATCCGAATTCCCAAACGTCACGCAATGCACCTGGTCACCACCCCTCACCATTCCCGGTACTCTATACATTAGC